AAAATTTAGATAATATAATATAAAGATGTTCATTGACATACTTTGAATTTGAATGTTAAATGCCCAATAGGAATTAATTACATTGACTGTTTCAGCATGTATTATACTTTTTAAAAATGTTCTTTTTAAAACTTAATGTTTTAATCAGAATTATTGGGTAATACCTAGTAAACCCATAATTTATTTTTATCTGATTCATAAGGTACAAGGTCCTATGACTTACTGACTCTTTTGTTTTTCTGACTGTTCCCTCCCTTCTTTTCTCCTTTCTTCTTTTGGTCTTTTCAAAAATGTATTGTCTTCTTATAGTCTTTCTTTTTGTGTCTGTTAGATTTCATTGTGACAAGTGGTTTCATTTTTTAAACCATCCTGTTTTTAATTCTAAAATGTTCTTCAGATTCCGTCCTAGGTTTAGAACTTCTCCTTTGTGGGGTTTTTTTTTTTTTTTTTTTCTGTTTGTAGATATGATATAGTCAAAGTTATACTTTGTTATTTTTTGTCCTGGATTAATAACAGAATGTTGGGAATTATGTTATTACCACACCTTTAATTAATATCATACAATGAATTTTTTAAAGGATATTTAAAAACATTTCATTTTTTAATTGCTTTTGTGGTCAGGGAATTTTTATTTAACCAAACTTTCTTGCATTTTGAAGTCATTTGTTACTGAGAAAATACTTTCCTGACTAAACTGATTTTAATGTTTCCAAAATTGTTTTGTGATTGAAGGTACATTTATTGGAGGGAATAACTGAGAATTGGTCACTATTGGAAAGCACAGAATAATTAACACCTTTGTGTTGTTATGGATTGAGGGCAGGACCCAGATTTGCTTATTAAGTTTTCAAATATGTATATTTTTAAAACAAAAAAATTTTAAACTTTTTTTGGTCATAGATTTCAGAGTTGTGTCTAGTAACAGTGGAAATAATTTTTTAAATGCAGTTTCTAACTTACTGATTTTCTTAACATTCTATATAATAAACCAAGGATAAATGGGCTTTTTGTTGGGTCACGGAAATAACTTGAATCACATTACTATTTCTTCTAGTTGCTTCCTGGTTTTTGTTGTTGTTTGACTGCAGTTTATATCATAGACTGAGAAATGAGAAAGAGTATAATTGAAATGATGGTTTTGGACTGGGAACATAGTAACCTTTTTGTTGGTTTCAGCATTCTACCAGTTGTGTAACATTTAATACTTTCCTGCCATTTCCCCCATCTACTAACACAAGCTCTACTTAGTTTACCTGAAATTTGTGATGATGAACTTACTTCTTTAGCTTCTTAGACAAAAATTAATATAAATGTAGGGTATTATGCAGTAAATTCCCCAAAGGTTGAATGACCCTCTGACTGCTGTTAAAGGGAGTCCCTGCATTGGGAGGAAAATTAGATTATTAGCAACAGCTGCTACCATTTAGTGAGCACATACTGTGTGCCCTATCTTATCTCATTTAATCTTCACTTCAACTCTGTGAGGTAGGTAGTGTTATTTCCATCTTACAGGAAAGAAACAGAGGCCCGGCTCTCCCGTAGGTAAGTGTCAGAACCAGGATTCAAACCTAGATTTTTTTTTTCTGACTCCAAAGCTGGGCTTACATTATACTCCCTACTGTAATGTGTTTCTTGATCTAAAGCTTTTATTATTTCTCTAAGAAATTTATCTTTATATTACTAACTTTCAGCATTTATATATATATATAAGTTTTCTGTTGTCTGTTAATTGTAGTTACTGTTGTGCCATGGTACATATCTTGTGCATTTTCTTTGCCCTCAGAAATAGCATTTATATCCCATTCACGTTCCTTCATTGTGTTAAATACATTTTTAGCACTGACATATCTCATGAAGCATGCTTTCAGTGTTTAAAAATACATACCATTGGGGACTGGTTTTATAAGAAATGATATATTTGCATTTTTGACATGTTTTGAGGCAGTCATTTTAACATCTGTTTGCATGACTGATTAATGCTTATTTTACGCGGATGCTTTAAAGGCTATAAACTCTTAGGTTTAACAAACTACTTTCATATTCCTGTAAAGTATTGTTTACTAACCTTCTTCATGTACCCTCACACATAGAGAAAATGATAATAGTTATTATGTTACACTGGTAAATGGGTCACCCTTCTGCTCTTGATCTCCAGTACTTCGCCCAGGGAGCCATGCCCTCTCTACCTTCATGTTGTGCCTCCCTCTCTTAGCTTCCTAGTGCTGAGAGGGTTGATATTTTGGCACACCTGTAACTCCTTGTGGATATATATAACCTTTGTGAGAAAGTGGACTAAAAATGTCTGTTCTTTGGAGTTATATATTCAGTAAACATAAATTTCTGGGAAAAGTAAAATTTTAAGTGGTCCATTCTAAAGTGTTCACATTGAGGATAATTCTAAGACATGCAGTCATATTGGCCAATCTCTTATATTTGAAGCTTTTGGAAACTACTCTTTTACTTTCATTTGTGACGTAACAATGATAACAGAATATCATGATTCTCAGTATTATTTATAAACCTTTTACCTTCTGTCACCAACTAAAGCTTTATTATATATTACACATTTTCTTTATCTTGTTTCTGCAATTTGGAAATGAGCCTTTAAGGTGCTTGAAATATTTCCAGTTATGTGGTTAACAGTAATGATGATTGTACCTAACAAAAGAACTTGATCAGGCATAAAATGCATATTCTTTCAGTTTAATTGTTTAGATTGTGTACCCTCTGGATTTGAGAAGGAATATTTATAAGGTTTGATGATTTTCTAGAAAGTTTGTTACTTTATTTAAGTACTGCTGGTTGGGGCGCCTGGGTGACTCAGTCGTTAAGCGTCTGCCTTTGGCTCAGGTCATGATCCCAGGGTCCTGGGATCCAGCCCCACATTGGGCTCCCTGCTCAGCGGGAAGCCTGCTTCTCCCTCTCCCACTCCCTCTGCTTGTGTTCCCTCTCTCACTGTCTCTCTCTCTGTCAAATAAATAAATAAAATTGTAAAAAATAAATAAATACTGCTGGTTTTAGAGTAGTGTGTTACTCAGCCCTACCTCAGAAGAGTGATGTATATCATTAGTTTATACTGTTATATAAAAGTTTTTGTGAATTTTTAAGTAATTAGAACAACTCAGAAGTTTGACATGAAAATAGCATGAAATATGTATTGTAAAAACTCTCTTGTTTAAATATTTCTCCTTCTGGTTTTCCTCCTGGTCAATGTCAGCCCAGTTCTTCACTGAAACCAAAGTAGTCTCTGATAGTTCCCTGTCTGGTGATTCTTCACCCTCCTCCTTCTCCCTAAACTTCAACCATTTCAGCAGGTCATGAAATACTGTTGCTTCTACCCCCAGAAGACCTCTCTTTTGTAGTCCCACCTCTGCTCTTCTGGTTCAGTATCTTACCATTTCCATCCAGTTGGAATTCTCCCCCAAAAGCACAGCCTGCTCAGGTCGCTTCTTCCCTTAGTATTATTTTTTTCTCTTTATTGCCATAGTTGGTAGTCATCTGCCCTTTACATCTGGCCCCAGCAATACTCTTTTATTTCCCATTCTTCTGTATATGCCCAGATGTGCATAGGGCTGTATGCCTCATCTCCTTTCACTAATTACCTCTAATGAAATCACTAATGTTCTTTATTTTGTTTGTATTCTAATTATGTCACTAACTTCTATCATACTTACACTGACTGCATATTCTCAGCCTGGAAGATCCCTCATCAGATGTTACTGCTCTATAAAATATTTCTGTTACCTCACCCTTATTTAAAATTATTTTCCTCTTGAGATACTTCAGACGATTTACCACATTGTGCCTGAGAGTATAATTAGGTGCATAATTCATTCTCTTCAACTAGATTATAACCCTTTTGATGACATGGCTCAAGTCTTATTTAGTTAAATTATTTTGGTGGTTGCTTAATATAAGCGAATACTCGAAGATGCACTTACGTGTACACGTTTTTATTTACTCAGTTTAAGTGTCTAGTTTGTGTATAGCACTGCCACATGCAGTGCCAGTCTCTATGAGGAAATAATAAATGAATATAAATAACTGTTCCATGAATATAACATGCCCTCAAAAAATGTCTATTCTACTAGGAAAAAAAGATGCTGATGCAATAAATTGAAAGGCACTGTTAACAAGTGCCATGAAAGTCACATCACTCACTAATAGTATACATTATATACCATGTCTGTATATTTTTGTAAGTAATTTTGACTTTTCCTTTGGTTTTGTGTCATCTCTCCATTTATTATATGATTGTATGTTAGATTTTTCTACCCTTTTTATTTTTTTATTTTATTATTTTTTAAAGATTTTATTTATTTATTTGAGAGAGAGAATGAGAGAGAGCACATGAGAGGGGTTAGGGTCAGAGGGAGAAGCAGACTCCCTGCCGAGCAGGGAGCCCGATGCGGGACTCGATCCAGGGACTCTAGGATCATGACCTAGACCGAAGGCAGTCGCTTAACCAACTGAGCCACCCAGGCGCCCTCTACCCTTTTTATACATAAACTATTTGCATATATAAATGTTAGGAAATATTCTTACAAAATACAGAACTTGTCTATTTAGGTAATTTTATTTTCAACTTTTAATAAACTGAATTTAGAATTAGCTTAATATATTATCTAAGGATCAAATAATTTGACTTATAAATTTATAGAGGCTGACTTTTTGAGATACTGTCTTCATGTTTTTATTAGCCTACTTAAAATTTTGTTTTTTAAGTGAAGTAATGATGCTGCTGTAGTTTCATTTAGAGCTTGAAAAAAAAATACCTTGTAATCAGAAATTAGTTTTATTTGTACATTTTGATTTTATCCAGTTGTGACATTTTCTTAAGAAACAATGGCATTTATTATGTAATGTTTGCTTTATGTTTTTTTGAAGAATGGGAAATGTGGTTTGGCTCTCACATATTATATGTTGTACAGATTCATAAAGTGTAAATGCATTGCTTTGTGTACTTTCTTTATGCTCTAATATAATTAATTTGTTTCTAGATGCTGGCATCACCATCTACATCAGGTCAGCTGTCTCAGTTTGGGGCAAGTTTATACGGGCAACAAAGTAAGAATTTTGTATTTATTCTGGGATGCTTTATTTAAGAGAAAAAAAATAGCTACGAAATAACAACCAATGCTGCCCTTGTGGGTCAATTCTAGGATTTAAAAGGAAAGATTTTTAATTTTCAGTTTTCCTTATTTTGCATACATAGGAAAACCTCATTATTTCAGACCTTTTCTAATTCAAAATTTATTATTTTTTGGATATAGGGATAGATTGAAAGTTAATTTTACATCTTTTGTATCTATGTTCCTTTGCAGTACAGTATTTTTGAAGAAGAATTTGCCAAACAAAAAAATTAGATATCCTCTGTGTTTTTAATTAGAGGAAGTTAAACTTTTTTTGTTTGGTCAGTTGAATGGGTGGTTTTGTTTGTGGGTTTTGGCCTTTTTATTAATGAAGAACCATTACTTAACAGTCTGTGAAATGCTCTTTGTTTAGCAAATATTTCTTCTTTTACTTTAGCTCATCTGGATACAGTTTTTGACTCACAGTTCAAGACTTTTTCCACATATAAGATTTTATTTCTTTTTAAGTACTGTAATGCTTTTATAGCGCTTAGCACAGTGCCTGGCGCATAGTAAGCGCTCAATAAATGTTTGCTATTATTATCACATAAAATTTTTATAAACTAAGTTATAAAATCTTCCTATTTTTTCCATTAATTTTCCAAACTGTTAAATATTAATAAGATTTTATTATCTCTGTTAATGTCAGAGACTGCTGATCTATCTCTGTTAACAAAAGGGGAGTGTTAAAAGGGATATAAATTCCCATCAAAGATTACAGGACATAGAGTAACTGGTGAAAACAATCTGACAACTGAGTATCTTAACCAGCTTCAAATAAAAATCAGTTATTTGGTTTGGAACCCTTTTCTGGTATAATAAAAAAGCAAAGTTTTGATAGGTGTCAGAATAGTTTGTCAGACCACTTTATTCTTCAAATTTATTTTGAAGTTTAGTAGAGGGAAGGAATTTATTTTGTTAGACAAATATAGCTTCCATCTACTTTTTTCTTCCTCTTTTGCTGTGGCATGCAATTTTGTTAATATAGAATTAGTAAATAAAATTATTAATTCCTTACAGATATTAGCAGTTTTCTTCTAGTTTGGTGGAAAACATTTTTTAAAAACCTTTTTATTGCATTAAAGAGGTGTTGCTTATTTATTCACAAATGTTCATTCTAATTGTTGAGGGGATATTATTAGCTAGTTATTTGCTTCATTTAGCCTGTGTTTTAGTATGAAACCTACTACTTTCACCTTTCTGGCAACCCTTATCATGAAAATATCTAGTTATTTTAAAGCTACCCTTTATTTCTATAGAGTAACTGCAAAGAACTTTGTTTTCTTTTTAAAGCCCACAATTTATCACCGCAGAAAATAGATATGGAATGGAGAAAAATTATTTGAGAAGCTAAGGTTATTTTATGGAGGAGAATGGCAACTATTTTACAATATAATTGGCTACACGGACTTCTAAAATCTGATGTAATTTTTTAACCTGCAAATGTGAAATTGTAATTGGGCTAAGATAAGGAATGGGTTAAGTTTGAAATAGTTATTTTATTGATATCAGATATTTATTACCTTCTTAATTTGAGTAAAATGATTATGCTGATTATTAGGGATGTACAAAGATTAACAAATGAGAAAAGTTATTTTCATTAGAAAAAGTATTTTAAGATACTCAGCTTAAAAAGAAATCACATATGACAGATATTTCCTGTTGGAATTTAGTATATTAAATGGCTGTATTCCTATAGCAGTAGTGAGTCAGCATTTTCAATGCATGGCTCAGTCTTTTAACTGACAGTGTAGGTATTAGTCTACAGAAAAATTGAACCTTAGGTCAACTGGAACTGAAATGTCTCAAGTCAGGGTATAGGTGTTGCTTTCCAGGATACAGATCTAGAAAACTACAACTAGTGAAAAAAGACAGAGGCTGGATTTCCTGTCTCTATCTGTTAGGACAGACCCTAGGGCCATATAGCCATCAGAGAGAACACCAGCTACCCTGTGGGACTTGAGGATCCAGGTTTCAGTAGTATAAATTCGTCAGAATGATAAAACTTGAGGAGCTAACCGTCATAAAGGATGGAGAGCTAGAAGGAATAGCAGGTGGGATAGGTTAGTGATGTTATTCTTATGGCAACAGATTGTAATTGTGCATTAGGCTTGATATAGCTAACTGTTCTTTTGCTTCACGAGTGTATTGAATACTACTATTAACTCTGTATTCAGATTGGCAAAGTTCAGCAGGAATTTGTACCATTAAAATGGAGGTCTACCATCTGTTTTGTGCTCTTGATGATTACAGAGGGTTAGAGGTGGAGAAGGAAGAGTACCCTCCAAAATGGAGGGTAATCTCACTGAGATTAAACAAGGGAGGACATTCCTCTTGGAATGGATACAGGGCTGCTGAAACCTACATTTTGCCAGATTTGGGTGGAAGTAATTGTGTAGCATATAAGGGTACCTAGAAAATGCTGGACTCTAGGGGCTTGTATGATTACAGGTCCCAATATAGTCTGATTGTATCCAAATATGTAACTAACTTTTCATCTAGAAGTTCATGTGAATACAGTGCACCAAATGATAACTATAGAAGCCATTGAACGAAATCTTGTATTCAAGTTGCATGATATTTTCTACTTCTTTGCAAGTGTGCATAAGATTTTAGGTATACCTTATAGGTTTAAAGACCCCCTCGGCTCTCCAAGGCTGTCTGCTAGATTGGAATTAACAGGGAACCAGGAATTAATCTCTCCTGGATATTCAGTGCATTGAAATTAAGTGATAATAAAGTTGGAGTGACTTTTACTTTCTTACCAATAGGATTTAGAGCCTTAGAGAATTGGAGAAAAGGGAAACTACTATTTACTGAGTGCTTCCTATATGCCTGCTATCTTATAGGCACATAGGTTAACTAGTTGTCTGGATGAATCCATGATACATACTTGTATCTGAATTCTCAGGACCCAGGCATCTAGCTGGGAAAAGAAGTAAACTTGTCTTTCTGGGATCTGGACTCCTGGCTTGAGAGCAGTGGCATATTCTCATGCTTTCAGCAGCATTCCTTTGGCCTCCTGTTTTAAGAACACTGAGGTGAAGGCTCCTTGTTTTGTGGAGAACCAGAGCACAGGTGGGGTGATTCAGACGTGACGCTTCTGATAGTATGGTTAGGCCAGTGACATTTTAGTAGCTTCAAGAAATTATAGGAACATTTAAGAGGTACTTGAATTAGTATTTTGGGAGTTCTTGCTCTCAAGAAGCACATGGTATAGTTGGGGAGGTCAAGACATTTATATATAAAATGTTAAATAACAGCCTGCAGTATTGATACATAGGTAAAAAGGTATCATTTGAATGGTATGGACAGACTTAGGGTTTAGGAGAGAAAAGCACAGTAAGCTACAGTGGTAAGGAAAAGCTTCAAAAAGGAGATAGGAATTGAGTTTAATAGATACTTACTGAGTGCCCACCATATAATGGCATTATGCTGCATAGTGCAGATGTGTGGTAGAGGCTCTTTTCTGCCATCCCTGTACAGTGTACATATGCTGTGATGTTGCCACATTTATTTATTGCATGTCTTCATTTGCCTTTGTATCTTTAGTATTCTGTACATGACAGGCACTCAGAAATGTTTATTGAATGCATGGTGAGCAAGATATGGTTCCTGCATAGAATGTAGTAGATAAGTACACAAGTTATTTTCCTACAGAGCAGAGGAAGAAGTACAGAGTTTTCTGGATATTTCAGAGATGGGAGTAATCACCTATCTTGGAGAATGATCAGGAAAGGATTTACAGATGAAGTCATGTTTGTCATTGGCCTTGAAGAGACTATGGATAAGATGTGTTCTAGTAGTGGGAGCAACACCCACAGCATGGGGTAGATTTGGGAGTGGTCTAGTTTATCAAGGCAAGGGAAACTTACTAGGCTGTTACACTGGTTTCATCCAAGAAGTACAGTCTTTACAATTCTGTGGGATCTATCTCAAGATCTTTACCACTTTCCAAGGTCAAGAACAGAACTATAGCATACAGTTTTCCCACAGAAAACAATGATTTTCTGGTGAAAACCGTTACTTCATTAGACTGTAATCTTCACCTTCACCTTTAGGACTTACTTACTTGACTTTTTTTTTTTTTTGCATAGGCATGTCCCCACCCACTCCCCAAAAGCTAATAATTATTACGTGTGTCAGATGCTATTTTAAATATTTTATATGAATCAGCTCTAAAATTTAATCTTCACATTTACCCCAAGAGAGGTTAAGGGATTTGCCCAAGGTTTCTTTCACAGGCAGTAAGTAGTCTAGCCAGGATTATGTTACTTAACATGAGAACGGAAGTTTCTTTGAAACCTGGAAGCTGTGTATTACTTACTGAATGTCATTACCCTAGAGGGCCATTAGCACATAGTAGAAACAACAAATGTTTAAATCCACAGATTTCAAGGGTCTACTAACCAGGGTATTATGGTGATATTTAGTTAGCTACCTCTACCATGAGTGAAATATTATTCCAAGAGCTAAGAGAATGGCAAATAGCAAAGATCTTGTTTTCATGGAGCTTACATTTTAATGAAGAAAGAGTAATCATGCAGACAACTAAGTAAATAATATAATTCTAGTAAGCATTATAAAAATTAAGTCAGATTAAGGGATGAGTAGATGGGATTACTATTTCACATGGAGCAGACAAAGAGTCTATCTCTGAGGGGGTGATATTTGAATGGAAACTTCAGTGTTGAGGAATGGAAATCTTTGGAAAGATCTGAGGGAGAGCTTTTTAGAGCAAATGCAAAAGTACTTACTCATGAGAATGTAAGAAAGAACTTAATGTGTTAAAGGAAGAGTGAGAGGGCTAGTGTAGTGAACAAAGAAAGTAGAAGATTAGTGGAGTACCAGGTGTCAGATCATGGAGTCTTGTAACGATTTGTTAAAGAATTTGGATTTATTCTAAGTTTAATGGGAAGGATTTTAAGATACAGT